AGCCAGCCTTTAACCTTGCTTTACTCTCCCGTACACAAAACCATGCTTGCCCCAGCTCCCTTCCCCTACCCCTCCCACACCACTGCTTTCACTTTTATACTTGCCCTTCCCCCCTTCCCTCTGCTCACACATAGCTGTGTTATTTCCAGTCTGCTTTTACCGTTCTCACGGTCTTGTCGCTTGCAGATTTCTTATACTTTTTCTTCTACCCTGAAGATGGAGGCGATACGTTCCTCCGAAACGTCGGTTAACACCACATATACACGGTGCCAAATCCCAGAAGACTGCTTTCTTCATTGAAATATACAGACAGGCATGACTTCTCATATGTATATTCTTTTTTATGCCAATGCACATAACAGTTAACTATGAAAATTTGAAATTGAAAGTAAAATATATTACAAACATGGCAAGAAAGTATTTGAAGTGCAAGTATTAATGAAAATCAGGAAGTCAGAAAGTTAGAATTTCACTACTTCTTGGTCCATACAAGATTACACAGTATACATATTTTTAAATTGGTGGTTGCCCATCTGTTTTAGGATGATGATTGATAAGTGGTAATTTATGCAAAATAGTGAGTTTTGAATTAATAACAGTGATAAAATTAAGACCATTTTCTTTTACTTTTATTGAATATGAATTCAACAAGAACAAAATGGAGTAAACTTCTTGGTTGTCACTTACCAGAACCGGAAGTTGAAGTGCCCTTTGTAATATCAGTAGTTCTTATCTCTCTTACTCCTGTTGTATTTTATGCGACAGCAAAGTATTTTTCAGCAACACCTGAAAGTAGGTTGCTAAGACATGAGTGACACTGTTTTATTAAGTTTGCAATACAGATTTTGCATGGTGTGCTGTTTACTGTGGAAAGACTACACAAAACTATTCCTAGCATTATGTGATCCAAAAGTTCGTCACTTCAGATTCATTTTAAGATTGTGCAGTGAGATCATTTTAGGGCCTCTCATATATGATTAAACTTCTCAGGTGAAAGAGGTGGATGTGAGTGTCAAGATGGTGCCAGGAGATCCAAACTGCCAATGAAATGGAAAATCTGCAGTTGAAACACATTAGAAATAAAACATCCAGATTACGGCATATGCAGGAAATGCTCTGTCCTGTTATGCACACAGTCCTGCTATGTTCCTAAAACGTTTAAATTCATACATCGAATTTCTTGGGAAACAGTGTAAACTATTGTAGCTTATAGACCCATTTCTAGGCAAAGACCTTGATACAAACAATGAGACAGTGGCTGTTGCTATGCATTGATCATGAGATGGCTTGTTGTATTAGACCCTTTTTCTGGGCAGTGACTTGGTAATCTCATTCCTGCAGCAATGGGGGAAGTGAGGTGTTGCCTATGCGGTCCACGCCAAGGAGATAAAAAGAAGAAAATTGGGGCAACCAGTTCAATTGATAGTTCAACAGACTGGACTGGAATCTTGAAGGAATGACCTGAGCACGGGAAGCTGATTAATCTCTACTGTTTAACACCTGTTACCACGAAATGGCTGCTGAAGACACCATAGGCTGGAGAAGACTTAGTGTATAATGATTTGTGAAGTGTGTAAATCAGCCATAGCGCTGTAATTAGTTTCAGTTCCAAGTGGTGTGTAAAAGTAGTCAACAAATCCATTCACCAATTCATACCACATCTGTAGACACCACAAAACATGACACTGTAAACATGACATCCTTGTCTCTTGTGCAAATTGTTTGAGGAATATCCAAATAAGAATGTTCAAGCAGAAGCCAGATTTCAGGAATTCTCTTTAATAACCACTCACCATTTTTATTTAATTTTTTTTTGTCAATTAACAACATGGTATGTCTTTATTTGTAATTGTGTGAACAGTTTCTCTATGTATAATAGCATCCTGAAATATTCACTGGAATTTTCTTCTTTTCTTACACATTCACTATTCTCTTTGGTATCATACATAAATATATGTTCTCACACATGGCACATTGGCACAGGAAATAACATAACTGAATAAATGAATGACTGCTTATCACACTAGTCGGGTGCAGTAGGAGGAGTTAAAGGATCATGGGGCTTGGGATCAGAGCAGAACAGTACATAATGTATAAGCTAACTTAACAGTAGCTCTTCACTGATTTGCTGGGGCAAAATTGAGGAGAAATTTGGTGTAATTTGGGCTAGGCTTGAGCATCTTCTAACAACAGCAACAGCAACGATGATGACGTTGATAACAACTAGAAGAAGATCAGCAGCAACACCGACACCAGCAGCACAATCTTTAGTTTTAAAATCTGATCTATGAAATGTAATGAAAGTGTTTAACAGCATACTGACTGCAATTTACAGCATCCAACCAGATATAAAGTTTGCATACTACTTGGAGAAATGGTCACTGACTCTAGGTGGAGTACATAGGAGTAACTGCAATTTCAGTGACACAGAATTTTGCATTTACTCTCCTAACTGTTCAGCATATAGAAGGAAATAAGAAATAACTAAAGAATGCGTTGCACTGCCAAGTTACATCATACCTTGTAGTGACAGTTTTAGATTTGTCACATGCAGTATATTACATACAGTGGAACCTCTGTTTCATGTTCCATAATATAAAGGTTTCTGCTTACTTGATGTTCAGTTTCAGTGATTCCAAGCCAGTAATCTCATTGTTAAAATTTCCTCCATTTAAGATTTTCCTCAGTTTAATGATAAAATACACCATTCTCCAAAGAAACCTAAATAGAAATATTGTATCTATTAAAAAGTGAGGGAGTTTGGGCCACATTCTTGTGCCTGACTCTTTCTACACGTCCTTTGGAACCAGGTCAATTATGTGTGACCTGTTAATTTCAGTCCCACCTGGTTTTCTTTGACCTTCCTAATGGCATATTCTAAAACAAAGTTGAAAAGCAGTGGTGATAAAGCATCTCCTTGTATTAGATCATTCTGGATAGGAAAATTATCAGACAAATGTTGACCTACAGGTATATAGACTTTACCATATGTTTCATTTAAACACATTTTAATCATACTAACTTGTTTTATGGGTACCCCAAACTATATCAGAATGTTGTACAGTACTTCCCTCCTAACTGAATCATAAGCTTTTTTGAAGTCTATGAATAGCTGATGTACTGTCTCATTATACTCCCATTTCTTCTCCAATACCTGACAAAGGCAAAAGATCTGATCAGTAGTTGATCTGTTACGTTGAAACCCACACTGATGATCCCCAATAATTTCATCTATGTATTATCCTTGAGAGAAGAATATTGGATAAAATTTTGTATGAAGTTGATAGCAGTGATATCCCTCGATAATTACTACATCAGTTTTATCACCCTTGTGAACTGGTACAATAATAGACTCCTTCCACTGATGAGGCAATTTTTCCTTATTCCAAATAGAATTAATTAGCTTATGGACTTGGAATGTAATATTTCACCTCCTGCTTGAATAAGTTCTGCCGGAATTTGATCACTACCTGGCGATTTATACCGTTTCAATTTTGCAATAGCACTTTCAATCTCAAAAGAGCTAGGATCAGGCAGTAACAGCTCAGATGTATATACTTCTACCTGCCTAACATCACTGACCCTGTGTACATTCAATAACTGAGAGAAGTAGTTCCTCCACCTATTCAAAATGTTGTGGGAATCTGCAAGCAGATCACCATTCTCATCCTTCACTAAGTTACTGCTAGGCTGGTAACCCCTCTTAAAGTCATTTGTTCTGCTATAAAGGTCCGTAATATTCCTGTTCTTAACTGTTCATTGCAAGCTGATCAATTTTTGTCTTCCAAAAATTCCCTCTTTTTATTCTTGAAATGCCTGCTGGTTTCATATCCTATATTGTTCAGATTCCCATTTAGTTCACTTGGATCCTGTAACCACTGCAATTTGGTTTGCTTCCTTTGGTCTAATAATTTGGAGCATCAGTCATCAAACTATGGCTTATGCTTCTTCAGTTCATAATAACCTAGACTCTTTGGCAGAAATTTTTATATTCTCTCTAATAGTTTCCCAAGCTTTATTAACATCCACCTCAGTGTCTAAGTTTTCCAAAGTCGCAAACCTATTCGAGATTTCAACAGAATACTACTCTTTACCCTCTACCTCATTTAATATCTTGAGATCGAACCTCTGCATGTGAACTCTGTGCATTGTTTTCTTACTCACTCAGTCCTTCCCTAATCTGTGCCACCACCAGGTAGAGGTCAGTATCACAATTTGCTGCCTGAATGATCAGACATCAAATATACTTGAACGCCATCTCCTGTCTATTAAAATATTGTCAATTTGATTGCACATCTTCCCATCAGGAAAGGTCCAAGGAAATTTACGAATGTTACAATGGGGGAACATGGTACTTTCGACAGTATGTTTTTTTGATGTGGCAAAGTTTACTACTCTAACACCATTATCATTACTAATTTTATGCAAACTCTCATTCCCAGCTGTTGGTCCAAAAATGTCTTCTCCGCCTACTTTGGCATTGAAATCTCCCAACAAGATTTTCATAGGGCATTTTGGGAATGGATCAAATACATGTTCTAGTTTTTCATAGAACCTTTCCTTTATATCGTGAGTTTTATCTTCCATTGGGGCATGAACATTCAGAACAATGATATTACACCAGTGACCAGTATTATATATGTATAATATAAACTCCGTCATAAATGTAACACTTTATTGTAGTTCTTGTTTCCCTTCTTTCACACTACATGTTTCGGCTGCAACCGGCCATCATCAGGTGTATTTTACTTCATGTAGCTATCACACTGCACTCAATTAACATTTAAACTCCAGATTTCCAATTGTTCATTGCTCTGTCGTCAATTGGCACCCGATATTCCAGAACTCCCCTTGTCAGTGTTGTCAATTATGTTTAAAATCTTTATTAATATTCACACATCGATTGGTTTAAAATTTTAAATTCTCAATTTAGCTTTAATATTTCAAATTTAAATTTAGATTTAAAACCAAAATGACCGAGATACCTGCTCTATGCTTATATGTGCTGCAGTGGCTACCTCTTGCTTTCAGCACAGCTCGCATGTTATTTTGTGCAGGTTCTCTGTCTGCATGCCACTGCTTTTCTTTAATACACTGTGCTGAAAGCAAGAGGTAGCCACTGCAGCACATATAAGCATAGAGCAGATAACACGCGAGCTGTGCTGAAAGCAAGAGGTAGCCACTGCAGCACATATAAGCATAGAGCAGATAACACGCGAGCTGTGCTGAAAGCAAGAAGTAGCCACTGCAGCACATATAAGCATGGAGCAGATAACACGTGAGCTATGCTGACAAAATCGACAAGGAAAGTTCTGGAATATTGGGTGCCGATTGATGACAGAGCAATGAACAATTTGGAAATCTTGAGTTTAAATGTTAATATTGAGTGCAGTGTGACAGCTACATGAAGTGAAATACACCTGATGATGGCCAGTTGCGGCCGAAACATGTAGTGTAAAAGAAGGGGGACAAGAACTACAATAAAGTGTTACATTTACAATGGAGTTTATATTATATATGTACATATAGAAGTGTGGAATGTAAGAGGATGCTTAAATATAATATAGTGACCAGTATTGTGCTTGACATCCTATCACCAATGAATTTTACACTCTTAATTGCTGATATGATTCCCTTATGTATAAAAACACCTGTACCTAATTCATGATTATCACTCCCCTCTCCATACAAAAATGTTTGTTCATCTGCTGATTCAGTGCCTCCTTCATTCCATCTGACCTCCTGTACTCCAACTAAATCTAACTTATATTTTTGAGACTGCTTCTGCCACTGCCCTAAGCAAACCTGCCCTATACATACTTCTAACTTTGCAAGTACCAAATCTCATATCCATTTTCTTTCGTTTAGGTCGTTTATCCAAGGAATCCATCCAGATCCAAGGCTTCTTGCAAGTTCTTGTAACAAGCTTATTTTTTACAGTGAAGAGTTCTTAGCCACATGCCAAACCTGGAAGACTACTCCTTGTCAGCTGTCTATGAGACTACTTATTCAGTATATTGGCAACTACCCTCCACGTCTGGAGGTCGTCTCTTCCATCTGCAACCTGATGACGAGTCATGCCATGGTGACAAGGAACCCACCTAACATGGACTTCTGTAGTACACCAAGGATTAAAAACATTGCATTTATAAATTTCAAGATCTTTAATATATCTGCTACCCACAAGATGCACAGAACATTTTTCACAGACATACTCTTTAGAATGTGTCCTGTAAACTGGAGACTGTGACATACATAAGGTCTGTCAAAGAGATATATTTTGTATTATATTCTCTAAAGGATTAATGGGGAACAATTTCTCCTTTTTAGACGGAAGAGTTAGGGTTAGAATTGTCATCATGAACAGGTGGAAAATATTAAACTTCTACTGCTGAAGTTTCCTTCAACACTAGGTCCAATAATACAGCTCAAACAGTGTACCACTGAGAAAATGCTGTTGGTAATGTCACTTCTTGTGAATGTGTCACCTGTACATATGTTTAGAATTTGGGACAATGGAACTGTAATGTAAAGGTACTGATGAGGTACACCATGGTGTGCAAGAACACACAGAAATACTGAGCTATGTTGGGAGTGTTCTAAGGAGCCCTAAAATTAACCAAGAGATGGGATTTCTAAAAGTGCTAAATCCTGTTCAAGGCAGGTTTTGAGAAAAGATTTACAGTGCTATCCAGACAGTACAGCTTTTGCAAGAACCTTTCCAACTGATTTTGAAACTTGCTCATTGTTTTTAGAACACTTCTGGAAATTGTAAGATTTGAGGCTTTCACGGCGGTGACTATGAAGAAAGCAGTCTTCTGGGATTTGGCACCGTGTATATGTGGTGTCTGCTTTTACCGTTCTCACGGTCTTGTCGCTTGCAGATTTCTTATACTTTTTCTTCTACCCTGAAGATGGAGGCGATACGTTCCTCCGAAACGTCGGTTAACACCACATATACACGGTGCCAAATCCCAGAAGACGTGCTTTCTTCACTTCTGGAAATTGTTAGCAAAGGTGATGGCCTATCTTTCTCTCCATAATGAGTTAATACACATTAATTTGAATTACTTAATTGGTAAGAGCTGTCAGGTGTTTATCAATCATAAAGGTAAAAAGGTACAGTTGTCCCTGTGTTTATTTATCAAGCATTAACCCATGAAGAGGTATCAGGGAGTGGAGGTGTAGCTCCACCATTCTTGACTTCAGAATCACACAGAGGTGAATGGTGAGTTTCCTAACATGGCTGCTTTATGCCTAAGAAAGAAGAGTCTGGTACCTACTCAGTAGGGGGCTAGGCGGGCCCCAGGGCTGGTCTGGATGCTGTGGAAAAATGAAAACCCCCTGTCCTTGCTAAAAATTAAACACTGGCCATGCAGCCCATAGCCCATCACTACTAAGTAATCCTGACTCATTAAAATTCATTCCATCTTAAAACATACATAAAAATAACATGTACACACGTTATTCATATACTAAAAAAGGAGCAATATAAAATGAGGTTTTTGAGGACAAGTTCAGCCCCTGAGCTGTCCACCTGCTCATCATGAAAATTAGGACCCTGAAATGTCTGAAAATAAAAGAATTGTTTCTCATTAATTCTTTAGAAAATATAATAATGCACACAACACAGAAAATCAACAGAGGCTGACACCTTTGCTGATGCATATGTATAAACAGAAATGTAAAAAGAACTTCACTGTCAAGTAATTAGGACAATTAAATACAGTTATGCAATAAAAAAGTATTTAAAAAATAAATATTGTATATACCCTTAGAGAAACCATGACATTAAATGTCCAGTACTTCGGTTCATTTTTATTACATAATAAAGTTTGTTTAATAAATATGTTAACAAGTCACATTTATGCTTTGTGTTTTATTTGTCATCGATGTCTTGCTTTTTTATTTGTATTTTTCTTTGTGCCTGAACGATGCACTGCTTTGCTCTCCTTGCTGGCTGTCTCTTTGGTTGGAGTCACTGGTCTGTCCATGTTTACACTGCCATTGAGTGCTGGACCCATGGTAGAGCTATTGCTTCCATTGGTAGTATGATGGTGAACAGTTGTAATGTTATTTTTTCCTGACTCCTTCCCTGTATTGTCTTCGCTGCCACTATTTCCAGTTTGGGATTCTGTTTCACTGTTTCTTTCTAGAAGAAGAAATTTTCATTAGTATAATATTTAGAAAACGTCCTTCAGAAGCCAATATAAAAATATTCATATAGAGAATTATGTAAAGCATACCTCATGTGGTTACGGCACACAGTTTTCACTCTATGGTAATATTCTAATACAGACAGTGCAGACTACAATAATTCATTATAGCAGATCAACTTACAGAGAAAATCCTTTTATAGCTCTTACATAGTATTTTATTTTCAGTGTTGTAATCAGAAATGGGAAATGACATTACTGTAGATCATAATTCTGTGCTTGTAACAACCCCAATGACTGTGTACAAACACTTCACTCAAGACGAGTTTCTGTCATGATGCTGATGAGTATTTCTTTAAGTTCATATGTCAAGGAAACATTTGGTTACCAACTCCCTTTATTACATAAATATGTTTGTTAACACAATCCTGAAGAAGACTGTCATAAACAAATGCTCATACACATGCACCATAATACACTGCCATTCTCATATTACCCTTGTCCTGTGTTTGATCCACCAGTCCACTTACAGCCTGAAAGATAAAAGAACAAGAGGTTAAAATATTACGTTTACATTAAATTTTATATTTTTTCTATTCATATTATTCAGTTTACATTCCACTATGATTCGACTGGGGTTCCACAATTCCCAATGAATTTAACCTCAATAACTGTCTCTATGTCAAACTTACGGCCATTGATGTAATGGAAGATTTTGAAAATAGTCTCTCTGCCTCCTTAAATTTCCTGTTACGTTTATCTGCCTTGCTGTTTGTATTTTTGTTGCTTGCTAGGTAGCGATCCCATCCTCGGATAATGTTTCCATACAGTTGAGTATCTTCTAAGTAACTTCCTTCAAAAGCATATATTTGTCGCTCTAGGTTGGCTAATGTATCCTGAAATAAGATAGGCTATGGTAATTTAGTGAACTCTATAAATTTATAAATTGTCACTTTTAAGTGCAAAAGGTGAAAACACATAATGAAAGATGTGAATTATAAATGAAAAAATTTAAATAAACCCGACACCATAGTGTCATTAAATTTCATACTGTTTTGCACTTCTACATAGTTTTCAGAAACCTAACCAAACGCATGTTTTAAGGGCTCATTTCTGTACAGACTTCAACTTTTGAGATTCAGTTTCCAGGTACATTATTAACTGCGTGACTGTATCAAAGCCGTACCGCAATCTCAGCTTTTCTCTTCACTAATTCGGCCAATTCTGCTCTGGTATCTATGGTTGTTAAATTCTTCGACGCCATTTTCAGTTCTTCTATGATATTAGTAACGTGCATGGCTGCCAATTACATATAATCAACGCCACGGATAGAGATCACTAAGCAGATTATGCTACTGCTGACCATGGGGTTCTCAGCACAATTAACCCTGGGCTCCGAGTCTAGAAGCAGCTCTGAATTATTAAACGGAAACAAGATCCGTGGCAACTGCTGAAGAAATGGCAGGAGTAAACCTCGCTAATGCTTACGGGACCGTTCGTGACGTCACAGTCGGACTGTGAGGCCGTGTTTCCCGCTGATACTGAGTTTTCAAAGTCGAGAAAGTATTATGTGTTTGCAAGTGTAAATTTGAAATTGGTTCTGGGAGAATCGCGAGAAAAACAAAAGTGGTGCAGTTACGTTTGGTGTCATAAACTAAAGTGTACTAATATTACAAAATATGATATCGAAGGAAAGATATGTGCCGAGAGTTACTCAAGTATGGGTTACAGTGTGTAAAAAGAGTCTTGTAATTTAACGTACTGACATGAGTCGCATTGGCTCATAATGTTCAGTTTTATTGTACAGCACATTTTTAGTCACTTTTCATTCGTAACGAAAGAAAGAAAGGCATATGAAATAACTTGGCCATGTGTTTTTCCATTTAAGATTTTCAACCAGTTGACTGGTTTTTATGAAATTTGGGATGGACGTTATGCCATTGAAACAACTGGAAAACCATTTTCTTTTTAATTTGCTACATCTAATAACAGTAGCATGCCGGAGTCACTGACTTATTAAAATTTTATACTATGTATTTGTAATTTCGTTTTATTCATTATTTATTTATTTATTTCGTCCCTATAGATAATTGTTACATGATATAGGACAAGTCAGTTACTGTACATTGGCTGATTACAATAAGAGAATAAAATTACAATACTTACAATAGATTACAATAGTTAAGATTTCATATAGTGTGAGGTGGAATCCATATTAGGTCCACTCGGCACGTCGGCTTCTATATGTCCTATTGTACCTGTGCTGGTACATTTATAATGTACATTGAAGCACATTTCTGAGAACTTCCGTCTGTACAGTTTTGTTTTAGTGGTTCCTTCTGAGTGCCCATTTTTCAGTGATGTGTGTTAATGTTGGTCTATAAAATTCTCTCTTAAGTCCACATCTTGTCTCCAGTACCCTGTTTTCCAACTCCTACAGTCTGTGGCTTCCCTTAATGTGAGTGACCAAGTTTCATACCCACACAGAACTGTGGCTGTTGTTATAGTTTCAAATATTTTAACCTTCAAGTTGTATTTATTTCTGCCAATATAACTTCTGTATAGGTACACTGCTTTGTTTAATATAGCATTAGAGAAGGTAGTTAGAGATGCAGGCATCAACACAAAGGGAACTATATTCTATAAGTCAGTTCAAATTTTGCNCATTTGCAGATGATATTGATATAATTGGTAGAACAAAAATCTATGAAAGAAGCTTTTGTTAATTTGGAAAGAGCAGCAAAAAAGATCAATCTACAAATTAACCAAAATAAAACAAAGTACATGCTGGTAACCAAGAAAGACTGTGCTAATAGACCTGCATATATTGAAATTGGCTCATATAAATTTGAGGTTGTATGTAGTTTCACTTACCTTGGATCAGGAGTTAACTGTAAAAATGATATCAGTGATGAAATAAAAAAGCGTGTACTTGCGGCAAATAAATGTCTCCATGGGCTTAGGAAACACCAGAACTATGATGTATAAACTACTTATAGGATCAGGGCTATCTTATGCCCCTGAGACCTGGCCACTGTCAAGATCGGATGAAAGACTGTTAAGTATATTTGAAAGGAGGATCCTGAGATATATCTTTGGACCAGTGTAAGAAAATGGAATATGGAGGAAGAGGTATAACCATGAGCTATACAAACTATTTAATGAACCAGACATTATTTGATTTATAAAGGTGAAAAGGCTTGAATGGGCTGGACACATAATACTTGGCAGCGAGAATAGAACAATTAAGAAAATACTTAATACTAAACCAGAAGGAAATAGGAGAGTGGAAAGACCAAGATTAAGATGGGAAGAATGTGTGTGGCAGGACATAATTTTGTGAGTAAAGAACTGTAGCAATGTAGCATCGAATGGAGAAGAATGGCAAGCAATCCTGAGGAAGGCCAGGTCTCACAAAGGGCTGTCATGCCAGTGATGATGATGATGATGATGATAGGTACACTGCATTAATTTGTGTCTACCATCATTAGGTGTGTGTATTCAGTATTTGGCTGCACTGCTCACTTCGTGTACCTTGAAGTTTAGGTAGTGCTTTGGGAAGACAAAGGAATGTGAACTGGATGGTAGCAAGCTTTCCCAGAATTAAGTCTGCTCTTAAATAATGCCTACATGAATGTAATTTTTGCTTTACTAGTCATGTAATTGTTGCTGGTAGTTGGCATTGCATTTTAGTTTGATTCTTTAGATTGATCATGCTGATGGTTTTGTTATTGGTTTCCTTGATTTCCCGAATGTTGTGATGATGTTTACTGTTCATTCCAGATAGCTTTATCCATTATAATGTTCCACGGCCATTGTATTCCTGTTCTGTGCTAATTTATAATGTATTATTTTGTATCTAGTGCATGAGAATGACCAGCATATCGTAAACAGAATTGCACAGTAATTAAATATCACAGATCATATTGTTTTTACATTTTGCAGTTTGATGCAGTGGAATTGGATGATGAGATTGTCAAAATTCTAAAAAACCAAGTGGTAAATACTGTTAAATTTCTGGGATTTGGATTTTTTGGTAGATGGGAGCCAGAGGTTGATGCCTTACTGAGATTTATAATTTGGAAGGTTTGTATGAGGTACACCTTAATTGCAGAATATGAGATAGAATTTATGATGATGTGATATTTAGTACTTTATGTATGTATCCATGCGTATAATATGTATTCTTTCTTTCTAGCTGTCGGTGAATAAAGTATATGGTACATTTGGCCAGCAGCTATTGAATGTTAGATATGGAGGTGAATTTAATAAAAATAAAGCGTATCTTTTTGCTATTCTAACGGTTGGAACTCGGTATCTGAAGCAGCGTTCACATGAAATAGCAACTGTTACAAGAAATCCCAGTCTGTCTGAGAAGGTAAGAAATATGTTTGGATTTATTCGTCCCTGTGTTGTAATGTACATTCATGTAAGAATATTCCTCCTAGAACATCCACTTTATACCCTTCATGCTTCTGGTTGACTGGTCTGTAAACAAAATTAGAATATATATGCTAATTTTCTTGTAAAAATATTAGGCTTTCAGATGCTAGGTTAATATTAAAATGTATAATATGTTAGTTACAAAGTTTATAGCATATTGAAGTTGTAAATTTTATGTGAATAATGTGGTTGACAATTTTTTTAGTCTGCTTTCTGTCTTGTAAAGCAGTGCATGGCTCTCTGGATGTGTGCCCCATAATAATTTGTATATTAAAGTAGTTAGCCAGTTTTCATGAAACTTGTTAGGAATGCCATGCTTTTAAATTTTTGTTGAACATGGTATTGTTAATATTCTGCCCCAGTTCTCTCAAGATAGTATTTACATCAAAAATTAATTCTTTATTATTTGTGATTACCTGAAATATTGCCAGATCAGGAATCAAAGATTTATAATTTATTCTTCACATCCAGATTAAGTTATTTTAAAGTGGAGTAATTAAACTGGAACAAGGGAATTGCAGTTTTTATATTTTGAAATTTTGTAGTAAACATTTGGCAACCAGTTCCTAGCATTTTTAGGCATACTGAAAATAAATCAGAATTCACATAATATTTCCATCATGGCCATTCTTCTGTCTGTAAGTAGAAGTGCCAAGACTATTTGACCACTTTCAGTAAAACTCCAATGTGATTGTGGTATAGGTTGGTAATTTGGTTCATTTTAGGGGACACTTTATGTGAGGATCTAAATTAGTTTTTATCTGTATAGTTTAAGTCCTTTGTTAGGTACTCATGAAACTTAAATGTATTAGCTCATTCATCGCAAAGACTGTCATCCTAACATGTTCTTGATCATCCAAAATTTCTTCTTTCATCGTGCTGGTAATTCAGAATTACTGTTCTTTTTTTAGAATCTACTCTTTGGTAATTCTTAACTGTTTAGTTCAGTCTGGAAGAGGCTATTAAGATGTGATTCTTTCTTCAGAAGCATATATTTGTATTGCATTGCATATTCTTCTATTGCACACATGGTCTGTAAGTGTATGTCCAGAGAATTGCTTAAAAAATTTATTTCTGCTTTTTCAGTTTTCCCCCTTTCAGATCTGTTCAGAGCCCAGTGTTAACTTCCATACGTAAGCATAAGAACACCTATTGAAGGTAAAGGTAAAGTTGTCCCTGTGCTTAACTAATTAAGCACAACATCATCAAGGCGTATGGGGGAGTGGATGTATAGATGCACATTTTCTTGACCTCAGCACTAGCTGGAGGTGAGTGGTCACCTTCACGCCCTGGCCACTTTACCCCTAGGGAAAGAGCCCCCAGTACCCAATGGATAGGAGGTTGGGTGGACTCCAGAGCCAAGCTGAGCATGGAACAGAGAGAATTTTTGACCCCACCAGGACTTGAACTCCGAGCCCTTGGTCGTCTAGCTCATAGCCAGTCACTATACCGACTACGCTATCCTGTTACCGTATAAAATTTAGTCTTTGTCTCATTTTTAGTTTTATTTTTTAGCATTCTTTGAATTGTTCCACACATTTTGAATAGCCAGAGTTTACGAAAATAAGAAGTTGAAAGGAAGTAAAGTTTTGGAACATTTTATACTGTTTTATAATGAAGTACCACAAGAAAGTCATAGTATCAGTATAGGGATGGGTTATAGGATGGAGGGCCAGGGGTTGCTTCCTGTCAAGGGCAAAAGGTTTTTCTTTCCAGCTATGGGAGCCTACCACAACCCGCTTACAGCCAGAGTTTTTACCAGTATTCATTGGGTGCACCCTGCCTTAGAGTTACAGACCATTCCAGGGGCCACAACACCTCACCAGTTACTACACACTCTGCTTGCCTGCTCGTCTGTATACTCTTCTTCTAACAGCCATAAATATCTGTTACAGAAATTTACATGGTTTTCTTTCTGTGCTACTGAACCTGATGTCCCACACAGCTCTGGGGCCTACCCAGCTTTCTATCCCATGGGTACCAGGGGCTCTTTCCTGTTGGGGGGGGGTAAAGCAGCCAGGGCATGAATCTGACCACTCACCTCCTTCCAGTGTTGAGCTCAGGAATGGTGGGGCTATACCTCACTCCTGCATGTGTCTTCATGGCATGGTGCTTAATTAAGCACAGGGACAACTTTACCTTTAACTTAGTATTATATTATATTAAGTTAAAGGTAAAGTTGTCCCTGTGCTTAATTAAGCACCGTGCCATGAAGACCTATGAGGGAGTGGAGGCACACGGTGTCATAGTTGGTTGAGGCACTATGCTACAAGCTGGAAAGTCGTGGATTTGAGTCCTGATGAGGTGGATTTTTTCAATTGAACTAATCCTTCCAGCCACACTATGGCCCTGGGATAGACTCAGCCTCTAACAGAAATGAGTACCAGGAATCTTCCTGGTGGGGTAAAGGGAGTCCAGCACACAACACTGTCAACCTTACTGCCGTCTCAGCCGATTATTTAGAGAAGATGTGGAAGCTTAAATGTCTCACAACCCTATGGGCCTTCACAGCCTGTTACAGGATAGCTTTACCTTTAACTTTTACATCATTAGTGTTATAGAAGAATTATTACGTGTAAGTTTCATTGACTGTGATTCTTTTTGACATTCATTTTACTAAAGGGCCTAAATAAACTTAGGCATTTGTCTTTTAAGTTCTTAAATGGAATTGGATGAAACTTTATGTATAGATTTTACAATTTGTGGAGTTGTTTTATCTCTTTATTTAAGAGGCTGGTTCTGTGACTAAATACATTTTGAATGTAATGAATGAATGAGGGTAAGTTAATAAGTAAGTTACAAATGGATATAGAACTTAAACAAATAAGAGTGCTGATTTGAAAAATGCTTCTATTTCTCAATATAATCCCCCTGTACATTGAGGCACTTGTCCCGTCGTTTCACAAGCCCCTGAAAACCAGCAGCATAAAATTCTTTGGGCTGCTGTCGGAGCCAGGCAGTGACATCCCTTTCTACAGCTTCATCGTCAGGATAATGTTCAGCCGAAAGATGATGTTTAAGAGGGCCGAACAAATGGAAGTCACTTGGAGCAAGGTCGGGGCTATATAGAGGATGCTCGAGGACTTCCCACATGAAATTTCACAGCATCTCATTTGTCGTGTTGGCAGTATGGGGACGCGTGTTGTCATGCGAGATCAACATGCCCCTGGTGAGGAGTCCTGGTCACTTCCGTTGAATGGCCATACAAAGTTTGCTGAGGATGTTACAGTAGAAGTTGGCATTTACAGTTTGTCCTTGAGGCTGGAATACAGTGAGCAGTTTGCCTTCATGATCCCAGTCACTGCCTGGTTCTGACAGCAGCCCAAAGAATTTTATGCTGCTGGTTTTCAGGGGCTTGTGAAACAATGGGACAAGTGCCTCAATGTTCAGGGTGATTATGTTGAGAAATAAAAGCATTTTTCAAATCAGTACTCTAATTTGTTTGGAAGGTCGTGGGTTCAAGTCCCGATGCGGTCATTGGATTTTTTCAATTGACGCAATCCTTTCAGCCGCACTATGGCCCTGGGGTCGACTCAGCCTCTAACAGAAATGAGTACCAGGAATTAATTAAATAATTTTCCTGGGGAGTAAAGCACAGCTGTCACATAAGGCTGACAACCTTACCGCCATCTTTGAGCCGATTGTCTAGATAATGAGGGACCCTCGTCTCAGAACCCTATGGGTCTTCACGTCCTGGTACAGGGATAGCTTTACCTTTGTTACTCTTATTTGTTTAAGTTATATATCCATTTGTAACTTACTTATTGACTTACCTACATATATATATATATATATAATGTGTATGTCATATTGGTGATTTCCAGAGAATCAGTAACTTAGAAATAACCTCTCTTAATTTAGCTTATGTCTATTTGATTTACACTGCGTACAGTATATCTACACAGCAGACAGACATGGATAAATGAAATGGACTATTTTAATGTCATTTAATGAGGATACAGTTACCTGATCATGTTTTAGCATGTTTGGTTTTGTGATTTCCAGATAAAACTTTTCTTTCATTGGGCAGATATCACCTTTCAGTTGGCAAATTTGGTAAATTTGTTGGTGTTCCTAACAGAAGGGAAACACCCAACTTTAGTAGATCGAATTCTTGGATTGCAACCTGTTTCTGTAGCACCTCCAGGTGAAGACCGTACTGTGGGTTATAGTTACATGACACGAGAACTTCTGTGGCATGGGTTGATTGTAAGTACAGTACATAGCAGTGGCATCTGATTTAGATAATTCTTTTATATGGAAAAGTGACTTCTGTGTGCCCTGGTGCTGTATGGAGTGTCATTTTAATTGTGTTTAGCTCCTGTCATTGATAAAATGTCCATTAAAGTTGGGATGAGTGATGGACTGTTGGCATAATGATGCAATGAAGTCTTAGTGGCATGGGTATTAGGTAACAGAAGGAAAGTGCACATTTATTGTCTAGAACAAATGTGACACATTTCATGTTGTGGCTGTAGAGATCCGTAGAGTTCATGAAGTATTTTTTATGCTTTAGTGACTGTTGTTTCAGAATTATGTCATCACATAATTCAGGTGTGAGTACTTGGTTTCCATTGTTCTTCAAGCGACCTACACTCAACTCTCGATTATTCGGGGGCGGATAAACCGGTTTGCGGCTTAACTGGGGCTACTGAGGCTCTTTTGAGGCTTATATGTTGTTTAATATTCACTCACTTTTGTTTCACATGGTAGTTGTAACATTATTTTTGCACTAGTGTAAACCGAGCTCTGCATTCTTTGGTCCCATTATGCTAACACAATGTTCTAGGGTAGGGGTGAAAGAATGCAAGGATTTGTGGGAAGTTTCAAGGACAGATACACCACCCCAGTTGGTCTCTTTGTATCGATCTTCTAGTGTGTTAGCAAAATGTCAGGCTGTAAAAGGAAGCATGTTGTGTTAAGTATTCAACAGAAACTCGTGTGAGCCAGGCTTGGAAATGTTAAGAAGTGACGAAATCTAAGTTCAGTGGGAGTGCAGCCAGAAGAGCAGGAAGCATGTTGTGTTAAGTATTCAACAGAAACTCGTGTGAGCCAGGCTTGGAAATGTTAAGAAGTGACGAAATCTAAGTTCAGTGGGAGTGCAGCCAGAAGAGCGAGAAGAAAGTGAGAATGAGGAAGAAGAGGTGGACAGTTCTGCTAGTAAGAAAATATCACATGGTGCTGCTCTTAATCATCTGGAATTCTTACTAGACTATCTTGAGAGTGAAGAGAACAGTTTATTAAGTGACAAGCTAATATTACCTAGGCTTCATACGGATATCCGTAAAAAGGAAAATGCCACGAAAAAGCAAACGACAATATTACATTTTTTAAGTGTTAAGTGTGAATATTCATAAAAAGTGTTGGATGTTGTTGAACACTGTGATTGAAATAACTAATTCATACTTCAGTGTAATGTAAAAAAAAGTATTAAATAAGCCATGAGATGATATAAAAATGAGGTTGAATAAATTTAAATACGGGTAGGCCTATAGTATTATGAAGGTACAGTATTACAGTACTACTTTTAATAAAATTTGTCTTAACCGGCTTTTCGATTAATCGTGATTTCCATCCCCACCATTATCCTGGATAATTGAGAGTTGAGTGTATTTAGTTTTTTACAGATTGTACTAAAATGCTCTGCCCCAGTATTACTTAGAATATGGACACATTATTTCAATTTGTTTCTGGCTACCTTACAGCATAGACATTACTATTGTTGTTCCTGTGGATAAAGCAATGAATCACTGAACTCTGTGTCATACTTACCTTATCTCATTGGCAGTAGAATTTTGGATAGAAACATGTAGATCGGATATGCTGTTACTGTATATCAGGCATGTCCATTGCGTCGATCACGTTACAATTTTTGGTCGATCTCATAGGCCTAAAAGGAAATTATACATGAAACGCATGCAAATTCACTTATAATATAATATGATTATATTCAGATTTTGAAGGGAAAATACGTATTAGTCATTCCTAGTTTTCTGTTCTTATGTAGCTTATGTGAAAATTGCTTTACACTTGTGTTAAGTGAACTGTGGGGAAGTCCCTACTCTATCCTTATCACGTGAACTCTTATTTCATCGCTCGTCATCAGCCGCGTGTGTTCTGATGCAAGACTGATTGACAGAACATGTGATTCACTTCATTCCCTCCCTCCAGTCAACTGTGAATCCCCGTATGTTGAACTAACAAGTGAGATGTATTATTATATTAGCTGTTATTGGAGATTTGTCGCTTTGCTGTGTATTGAACAAATATAGAGTTTGGGGATGAGCTCAGTGTAATGAAAGGGACAGTAAGTGCTCTGCTCACGTTATTTTATTAATTTCGAAAGTGTCTGTGTGCGTGTGTCAGATAAAACAGTTAACTCAATGTAGTGGAAAATGCAACGCCTCAGTATCCTTGCCAAAAAAGTGTAATCTGGAACGTCATTATAATGCTCTCCATAGCAATAAGTATGATGCTGGTTTTCCACCCAAAAGTGAAATTCGTAAACTTAAGCTTAAAGAACTTAAATCGAAATTAGCTGCTAACAACAGTTGATGGCAAAACCAAGGGCACTTTCTAACAATGCAACCAAATCATCCTTCAAGGTCAGCAATCTGATCGTTAAAAAATGCAAACCTTTCACTGAAGGGGAATTTGGAAAAGAGCGTTTTCTTGAAATAGCTAATAACCTTTTTGAAGAATTTAAAAATAAGAAGAGATCATAGCTACTATTCAAGATCTTCAATTATCAAGAAACACCATTGTGCAGCGAATGGAAATGATGTGTGGAAACATAACTGAACAGTTGTTGAAAGATGTTTCGAATTGTGTTTCTTTCTCTCTCCAACTGGATGAATCTACAGACATCAGATACACAGCCCAGTTACTAGTTGCTTTTATAACAAACATCATGTGTCGTGTTATTTTTACCAATATTTCTGCTTAAAGCGAGGTACAACGATAGGAGGGGGTGGTAGATCACTAGCAGTTTTGACACTAAAAAGTCGATCACAACCTGTTTGAAGTTGGACATGCCTGCTGTATATCAATTCCTCACCAACCTAGTGGTTACTTTTACTGTTAAGACCAAGATGTTACATGGGATGTGTGTTTAGGGAAACTTGCTACTGTTAACTCTCATCAGGATCTGCATTGTTTGTTCTCTTCTGACAAATAATGCAGAAGTATAGGCACATGCACAGTGTCTCCAGGTTCTGTTAGGACTGTGTTCATTAAAAATACAAGACGTGAATTATTTTCAAAATAGCCTCCTTCTGAATCAGTACATAGCTGGAATCAATTGGAATGTTTTCGAAAACAGTCATTGTACTCCTTTTGTGGAATCGCATTTAAAACTACAGTAGATTCCCTTTGGATATCCTGGATGGTGTCATGACTGTCTCCTTTCATCGCCACTTAACTTTTGGGAACAACCAGAAATCTGCTGGAGCCAAATCTGGTGAATACGGAGGATGATCGAGGACTGTGATCCCTTTTCTGGTCAAAGGATCGTGCACGATCTTCGATTTGTGGGGGTGGGGCATTGTCATGGAGGAGTGACCAGGAACCTTGATCTCGATATTCAGGTGGAATTCGAAGAATTCTCGCCCACAAATGATTGAGGACTCTGAGATAATAATCAGAATTCACTGTTTGACCTTCTGACAGGAATTCCTTGTGAATGATTCCTTTGGAATTGAAGAAACCGGTTAGCAGTGTCTTTACTCGACTCTTTTGCATGCACACTTTCTTTGGGCTCAACCACACTGCACTCTGCCGCTTTGTGAGAGGCTCATGTTGAAAACACCATGTCTTGTCACCAGTAACAATCGATTTTGTAAATTTTGTATCACTTTGGACTGACCGTAACATGTCTGAAGTGTTTCTCTCTGGCATGTTTTTCATCGCCTGACAGCACATGCAGTACAAACCGCGCACAGACGTTCTGTTTGCCCAAATCCTCGGTCAAAATTTGATACACAGTACTTTTCTGTATTCCCAAAAGCACCCTGATGAGTCTTGCAGAATCATCTCTGTCTGATGCAAGGATTTTGGTCACTTTTTTCACGTTTTCTTAAGCGCGACTTGTTCTTGGCTTTGATGCACGTGGAGCATCTTCAGTGTTCTCCCTGCCGTCACGAAATACAGCATACCATTGAAAAATGTTCGAGCAACTCACACAATCATTACTGTACACACTTTTCTTCATTTCATACGCTTCTCCAGCTGTTTTGCCTAACTTCAAAAAAATTTGATGTTGGCTCTGTTCAACGCCATTTTCTGACGAGCATCAGAACAGTACTGTTACATTCAAGGTCAGAACACATGATGCTGTGATGCTTGCGCTTTGAAATTATAGACAGAAACTTCAAGAATCTTAATGTCAAAACTCGCCAACAGATGGCATTGCAGGGCACAATTTAAAAAATGAGTCCTAACGGATCCTGGACACATCGTGTAAGACATAAAACATAAAGAAAGTGGTAGTCTCTTATAAAGATAAAAAAGTGTTAACAAAAGAACCACTGCAGTGATAATCTGAAATCTAGAAAACTGGTTTTGAACACCATTATAGCCCTTGCCAAAGCAAATATATTTATATTCACCTGCTGGTTTGGTGCCACCTCTGTCCCATGTGACCTGTGCTCCAACTAAATCTTTCTTATATTTTGAGATTTCTTCCGCCACTGCCCTGAGCAAACCTGCCCTATACGTACGTCTTAACATTCCAAGTGCCTAATCCCATGTCCATTTTCTTTTGCTCAGGTCGTTTATCCACAGAATCTGTCCAGGTCTGAGTCTTCTTGAACATTTTTGTAACAAGCTTATTTTTTATGGTGAGTTGTTAGCCCCACATCCAACCCTCAAGCTGGAGGACCACCCCCTGTCTGCTGTCCACGACTGTGTATTCCATATATTAGCAGCTTCCCTCCATACTTGGAGGGCGTCTCCTCCATGCGCAACGTGAGGACACCCCATGCCATGGTGACAAGGGACCCACCTGACATGGAGAGGATAGTAATGTTGTTAACTTGAAGAATTGTAATAGATCTCTTTCAGTCTACAAATCAGGGCATTTCCCAGACAGTACTGGCAAACTTCATGGAGAAGGAAATAAGTAATTTGGAGCATATGTTCTTTATTGAGCTATGCATGCATTGTTTTATGTCCCATATTTTGGACTTTATCCTGCTTAAATACAAAGAATCTGTATAATGTCATATTTATTTACAGGAGCTTTCTATTTTTGCTGTACCACTTGTAAATTACCATGCTTTGAAGCGAAGAATAGCTAATTTATTCTTATGGCGGAAGAAGGACATCGGCAGCAGAGCTGTGGTTTTCAGAATTGGTAACAAGTGTGCTGAATGCAATGAGACACCTGTTCTTCCACATCATATGGGCTGTAGTCATGTATTTTGCTTCTACTGCATTAAGGTGAGAGTTCGTTTCTTTGTTTATGCAAGTGTTTTTGAGCCATGTGCTGTCTGCTTGGTGTGCCATATGTATGTGGCGGCTACAGTTCTATCACAGGAACCCTGTCTCCATTCCATTAAGAAATGCTTAAGTGTAGATGCCTTCAAAGTACCATTCTCCAGCAGATATGCACTGTGGAAATTGTAGATGATCAGTCAGTTCTTCATCCATGAATGGAGGTAAAAGTTGCGCTTTGTTTGAAAGGGGGAGAGGGATGATGGCTGGAGCATCACTACAATATCATATGTGGTGAGTTGCTGTTGTAAGCAGTGATTGATATGCATTGTTATATACAGGAGCAGCTGGTCTGTGGTCATCCACATTCTGTGACACTCTTATGAACAGCTTGAAGCTCTCTCTGTTGAACATAACATCTTCAGGAACACACTGATGTGCCATTATTTCCCTGCCAGCCAAGGAAGTTGTCCATTGCGTTCTTAACCTCACCATCAATGAATCCATAAGCAATGGCCCCCCTTTTTTTTTTTGGTTAACCCTTTATCAATCCTACACTTTGAATGAAATGTAGGACTTTGTTTATGGGGACGTCATAATAATCACTTGGTTCCATGAAGATCTGGTCAAGGTGATTAAGTCTTAAATAGGCTATGTCCTCACAATCACATAGGATGTGTGTGGCCACCTCACTGCTAATGTGCATGCAGTCGATGTGTTGCTCTAACATCAGCGCTTTTGGTGAAACGTCTCAGCAGATGTGATGCATCTGAAGACCCTTAATAAGGATTGTGTGGCAACCATGATGTATCAACCAAAATTTCAGCTTTTTTTTGTAATTGTCTGTACTGTCTAGTGGCAGTCAGAATACACATACATCTTTCTGATGGCAAAATTCTACATTAGCCCACTGCTCACAGCAGTCCATTCCCCTGTATTAAAACCTCCCATGTATTATGCTTTTCTGTGAGGTCATGCATGTTACTCAAAGGGAATGGCACAGGTTCCACTAACTTTATGTAGGAAGTGTGCACATGCAGGTGCCAGCTAACCTGTCACAGTGTCACTGTATTCGCTTTGTGTGCATACAAAGTGAAAGAGTAAACCCTGGGTATAGTTAGTTAGTTATTAGAGAGGGTGGGTTTCCCCATGCACTTAGACCTGTAGTGGTCCATTGTGCTTCCCTCTGTGATTTCTATCAGTCTCTATATCCTACCGGTACTGGTGCTTACCATCAGTCCCGCTCAGCCAGCGAGACCGGCTCTACTGGCTGAGAAGTATCTATAATGCTTCCCTCATCTACCGGAGGTATTAGTGACTGCTGTTGGGCGGCAAACATCCGCAGTTTTGCTCAGTGACCTCCTTTGGAGGTGTGAGGTTCTTTTACATGCCGTAAAGCTACGACACGGGACCCACGGCTTAAAGTCTCTCCCGGAGGACTTGTTCCCTGAATTTTTCTGCCCTTAAAAATTCGACGACCTCTGCCGGGTATTTGAAACCACGTACTACGTGTCATGAGGTGGGAACGTTACCTCTAGACTACGGAGGCCGCTAAACCCTGGGTGTAACTCGTTAAGCACCACATTATGAAGATGAACTAGGGAAGTTGAGGTATATCTGTACCATTCTTGATCTCAGCACTAGATGGGGGTAAGTGGTCAGCTTCATACCCCTACCGGGTACTGGTGGGGGGAGAAGTAGAATCCAATGGCTGCCGCTTTGGAATTATCAGTGGCAGGGAATCTATGAAGACACACTTGGTTGTCACACGTTGCATGCCTGTCATACCCATCAGTTGATTCAAAAGTGTTATGGCACACACATGATGATACTGCAGACTTATGTTTTTTCATAAAGTATGGAAGTAGGAAGAAAGAGAGGGGCATTGATAATTTTCATAAAGTATGGAAGTAGGAAGAAAGAGAGGGGCATTGATAATAGATGCTATCAGTGCGAAGCCTGTTTAAAAATACTGTGAAATTGTGCAGACAGCTGTTTAATTTTCCTGAATGTGGAATTTGAGCATGATGAAATCATGGTATGGATACTTAGATTGTATGGAAGCTTTTATGTTGGTAATTGAAGTCAAAGGAACTTGTTAATATTTCTGTTTCATAATGATAATGGCATTTTGCAAATTATGTGTTCTTTGTTGACAGGCGAACCACCTGGCGGATGAAAAGTATGAATGCCCTCTTTGTGGATTTTCTGCTAAAGATGCTGCATCCATTACACCTCTCTGTTTAAAATCTTGATCAGTGAATGATTATTTTATGAGTATGTCCTCTTCCAGAAGTTAGAATTTAAGATAAAATTTGAATGACTGTGTGATAAGCAAATGAATGGAAGTATGGAATCAGAGCTGTATAAATTCTAACTGAATGCAAATCATGCTCTTATGGTATCTTATAAGCCTTTGAGTAGAAGGTTTCCTCCTCTCTGTCCTAACCCCACAAAAATACCTTTTTTCCCCCCTTAATGATAACATATGATACAGATCTTAAGAATACCCTAATGCACAGTTTAACTGTACTTGGAAGTTTTTTGAAAAGAAAGCCTGTCATATGCATCTGATGTCCATGTACTTTTACACAACCTGTTTACTTATATTGTATGATATTTTCTTGCATATGAACTCTTCTTCTGTTGATGGATAAAATTTGCAGAGCTCACAGTGACCAAATTCACAGATTTTGGAGGCAATAGTAAACCTTCTTATTAAAAAGAACCCTTAATGGAAGGAGGTTTATGACGATGTACACACATGAATTCATTGTTGAATGCGAGGTGTCACATACCAGAAGCTAATACTCTGTAAAATGCATAACAGATGTTCCAGCCCATCCATGTGCATGTGTCACTTTGGTTGCAGCCTCAAATTGAATCCAGTAGTCCAGAATTCATCCATCCATCCCACTTCTGACACCAGTATCATGTGAGGATGACCACACAGTGGGTTCAGGTTGGAACTGGACTTATGTGACTCTAATTCCTGTTCTCTACAACTGTTTACAGGCATTCACAATCATTCATAGGCCGTCAGACCATTCTTACTTGGATCCTAAGCACTTTGTTGTCCCAGGATCTCAGTTACTGGCTCTGTTTAATCCAGAACCACTTTGCTGTATCTTCCAAACCGATTTAACTTGTATGTCATATGCTAGTTGATGCCATCGTCATGCAGCAAAGGTTGCATCAGAAAGCACTTTCAGATCATCTGGATGGAGCATTTGGCTGCAGCTTCAGGCAAACATATCAGTACAGTAGTACTCATATTGAGTCCTGTCTGGGCTGTCTTCCTACAATTCTGTTTGCTCTGCTTGTGTGACCTAGTCCAGTCATGTAGAAAACTTCGCCTGCTAAATGCCCAGACTCCTTCGCGCCAACACGCTCGCCATCTGCCTGGTCTCGTTCATGTCTATACTCACTTCCAGAAATTGAATTTGAGGTTCCCACAGTGGTGGCCATGAAGAGTACTCTCTGCTGGGATTTAACACCGTGTAGTCCAATAGAGATTCACTGACATTTTAGAGGAATGTACAGCTTATGCATTCAGGGTTGAAGAGCAAGCCAAACAAGAGACCAGCAAGAAGCGGGTGACACGCAGAAGGTTAAATGTAACATATATTCAAAGAGCTTACTGAAGTGCTTGGTGCAAATGCATGAAACCAAGACTGCTCAGAAGCACAATGAAGTTGAAATTTTAAAGTTATGCTGTGATTACTGTGATATAAAATTTTTGCATCTGTTATGTAAAATTTGTACTGTATTAAATACAACTTTTGAACTGTTATTTTATGCTGTCATATTCCTTTTCCCTTACTCCTGGAACCCCAGCTATGAATGCTTGACTGTCTGGCAGATTTGGTGGAACACAGTTGTATTTAAGTTTTGTTTGCTATGTGTTTTGCTTTGGCATGTACGCCATGTAAACTCTGAGTAAATTCTAAATTCATTTTGTCGTGTTTAGCTACCACCATCTTGGGGTGGGAGGGGAGGGGAACAGGGGGTGAGTACCTGTTGTGCAGGTAGTTCTATGTTGGTTGCTGTAGGATTCTGACGATGGTGTATAACACAGAGATACTGAGTTTTTGAACTTTATCCATCGTCCTGGTTTTAAGATAACTAAGAAAAAACATGACGTTTCGGAAACTGGATCTATTTCCGTCCTCAGGTGAGGTAAACCACCTATTCTGTTGGGTTCTTTAGAAAGAGCTACCCTCACCTGAGGATGGAAACAGATCCAGTTTCTGAAACGTCGAGTTTCTTCTTAGTTATCTTAAAACCGGGACAGTGGATAAAGTCCGAAAACCCAATATCTCTGTCCAGCTATGGTGCTTTGTCAGTATTTTATTTTGTTGAGGAGATACGGATTATTGTTTGTTAATTTAACTGTGTTATGGGCAAGAAGTTGCATTAGCAGTGAGGGCTACTTACAGCAGAGGACAGACTCTTGTTGTTTATTGTACATACCTAATGTCACTTGATGTTTCATGCCAGCCATCTTGTGTACAGCTGAGCCCTTTACTGCTCTCATTAACTGGCATTATGTACTATGGATTGATTTGACTACACTGTCCAGTGTGGCTCAAATGTATATATAGGATGCCTTTACATGTTTCGGTAAATTAATAACCATTAATATAGTTAAAAACTGTAATGTCTTATGGGTAACCACTTACTTGTTCTGTTCATGTATTGTTTGTACTTTATACATACTGTTAAATATATACTTTTGTTATTGTGTTAAATGTTTTTGCTTCCCTGCTTCTTGGTAAAGTAGTAATCCTGTTAGCTCACTGTTGTCTCTAGTGGAGTATATATTAGGTTTGTATGGCATGCAGATTTCGTGTCCTCTACCGTGCACTTGAGACACTGATTGTAGTGGTGGCATTATGCCAACATCTGATGATGAGCTTCTCCTAACTTCATAACTAGGTAATAACTGAGTAAAAAGGCGTGTAAACACTTCATTTTTGTTTCAGACATATTAAAGTTCTTGACTTTTGGTAAGGTGCTTCTGGAATATCTTAAACATAATCAACAGTTCATAGTATGTATTCAAGTTAGTCTTTCAATATGTCAGCCCGTTGATCCACTTTTCCTAGGTCCTCTTGTTACAGTCGTATCTCGTTTAAATGTTAATTGTTGTGTAAGAAAATCTGATGGCTCAGAGACTGATAATGGTGGTATGAGCTCTGATTTTCCTCAGTCTCTTCATGCACACATTGAATTATCATTTGAATATTCTTGGGTTTAATTGACATTAAAATCTTTAATGTAATGTTGTAGTGAAATAGTCTGTAACAAATGAAAATAAATATCAGGTTACATGGTGTTTATGATAGAGCAGATTGGTAAGAAACGAAATAAATATTTTGCCGAAGGAAAATTGAACGGTGCATCATCCAGGACATGTTAGAAGGATTGGTGAAATTTTCCTGTCTTGCTAGTAAAATGTAAGTTACTCCTCTGTCTAAGCATAATGCCATGAAGGTGTAGGAGGGATATGGATGTAATCTCTGTGCATTTTAGACCTTGGCACATGCTGCAGATGAGTGGTTACTATTAGGGTGCCTGCTGTATTTTAGGGGAAAGAGTTGCAGATATGAATTAGGAGTGAGGCTGATTGGTCTCAAAAACTTACAGACATGATGGTGAATTAAGAAAACTATCATTTGCAGGAATCAAAGCCAAGCCTGTAAAAAGCTAATATCGATAAAAAAGGTGAAGCTATCGCTGTAACAGGCCATGGAGACCCATAGAGTTGTGAGTTGTCAAGCCTCCCCATTTTCTAGACAGTCGGCTCACACATGGCGGTTAAGTCAGCCTTAACCGCTGCCGCCCTTTACCACCCAGGAAAATTCCTGGTACTCATTTCTGTTAGAGGCTCAATCGATCCCAGGGTCATAGTGCGACTGGAAGGATTAGGTCAATTTAACAATTCAGTGACCTTATCGGGAATTGAACCTGCGTCCTCCCGGCTTGTAGCATAGTGCACCAACCAACTACGCTACCGCACGGGCTCCCTCCAAAAAAAGAAAGAAAGAAAAGAAGAAGCTACCACTGACTTATGATAACGTTATCTGTTTTTTAGTTTATTTAATAACACTGTAGTTCGGACTGTACAGCTTCGAATGATTGGATAATAGTGCATAATGAGTTTGACAGGATGTGGGAGGAAGTTGTGGTATTATTTAAGGCAATATTCCAGAGTTTACCAGGAGGTATTGAGGTTGACCATAAATAGCATCAGGACAGTGGAGATCCCAGATGTGAGCAGGTCACGTGGAAACTGATTTACCCAGCTTGTACAGTGGATGATGGTGTTGCAGGAAGTACAGTGCAACAGTAATGCCAATGAACTAACAATGGTAGGAAAATCGGTCTTTCAGCAATTTTATTGGTAACTAGTTCAGATTTATTATGTGATACCAGGAAGTCACAGGGAAAATAACTGCATATTTGTCTCATAGCGACAATGTAATCATGGTGTAACCACAAAGGAGCATGACGACAACATTGAAGCTCTGTTGGAGTCCTTAGCTCTTCAGCCACAAGTGATATTTTGATGTGCCCGAGTTTGTATTTTCGTAAATACGAGTATTTGGCGCCTTCTCTTCTTTCAGCCTAGTCTTGCGGTTCGTAATAACACTGTTATTCCAGTTACTTTGGAGCCGAATCTTGTCTCAAAATGCAGCAGCATAATCCACTTTATTACGTAATTGATGACAGCGGGCATTTGCGTATGTCCGACAATTTACCAATGACCGGTACTTCACGCGTCTACCAGTCCTGTTCGTATACCGAGTGGGCAGAATCTTTCCTTACGAAGTGGATGCCAGAACTTTCTTCCAACTACAAAAATTGAGCTGACATTTGACATCTCTTAGCTCCTGACAATGGAATGATTGACTTAAAAATTTCAGACTTGTCTTTTAAGAATCAGGAGACTTGTGATTCTGTTCCTTACCACCACTGCGTCCGGACTGGTTCTGAGACCCACTCTGCGTACCATTTAGTGGTAAAAAGGGTAAAGTCCTTGTGCTTAACTAATTAAGCACTACACCATGAAGGCGTATGGGGGAGTGGATGTATAGATCCACATTTTCTTGACCTCGACACTAGTTGGAAGTGAACGGTCAGCTTCACGCCCCGGCCGCTTTACCCCCTTGAAAGAGAAACCGGTACCCATTATATAGGAGGTTGGGTGGGCCCCAGAGTCGGTCTTGACATGGAGGAGTGAAAATTCTTGACCCTCCGAGACTCGAACTCCGACCTCTCGGTCGTTCAGCCCGTAGACAGCCTCTATACCGACTGAGTTTCAGTGGACCCTTTCTTCTTGCGGAGGTAAAACGGCTGGCGCTTGAAGTTATCTTCCATCTTTATCTTAAACTGAAATTAGTTCGCCATGTATTTTCGTAGCCTGGTGCTTGATTAAGCACAGGGATACATATTCATGACCGTCTTCGCCCACTCGAACACTGTAGTCATGGGTTCGAATCCTACTAGAGGCATGGATGTCTATGTGTCTTTGTTCTGTGTGTAGGTAGAGGTCCAAGGAGTCCTACCGACTGTGTACAGGCTCAAGAAACTGAAAAAGCGACAAAACACCAACAAAGGGCTGTAGAGCCATATTAATAATACGTCTTCTTGGCGTGTCGCTTAATTGAAGATATAACGACTTTGAAGAAAGTTGTCTTCTGGGTTTAGGCACCGTGTATTCTTCGTTTTGGCCGACGTTTCGGAGGAACGTAGCGCCTCCATCTTCAGAGCAGTTGAATAGCTGCGGAGAGCAGTAGCTGTGGTGGTAGGATGTGGAAGGTGCTGCTTATATACGAAGTAGGCAGGGGGGGGTGGTTAGGGAGAACGGACCAATGGGAGCAGTGGAGAGCGTTAAGGCCCATATAGGGTGTGTGACAAGGGAGAGGGGGAACGGCCCAGT